TGTGTGTGTGTGTGTGTGTGTGTGTGTGTGTGTGTGTGTGTGGTGTGTGTGTGTGTGTGTGTGTATGTGTGTGTGATCATCTTACTTTCTATCCCTAGAATGAAAAGGAAGAAGCCCTTACAACCAGCGTCTGGATTGAAATGGTAATATCCCTTGTCAACGCAGGTTAAACACTCACACAGCGGCTTGATACCACACCATGTCTCTAGACTCTTTGTCTTCGCTTCCTTTCAAATTCTAATTGTTTTCTGCTTTTTCCATTGTTAGAAATGGTGTGACTACAGGCTGAGGTGGGACCAACCTCCCAGGTCTGCCCTGTATGGAAACCTCACCTCTGAGATGAGGATCCCCTCCAAGAGCATCTGGCTGCCTGACATCATCCTGGAGAACAAGTGAGTCTAGAAAGCATGACATAAAATCATCACTTAACGTGCTGGCCAAGGGAACACTGCAGATTCATGATAACGGCGTCCATATTAGGAAGTTGTCAGACAAAACATGTGATCCCATACATAACCTCTCTCCTTTCTCTGTGTCTCCAAAGTGTGGATGGAAAGTTTGAGATAGCCATGTACTGTAATGCCCTGGTCTCTCCTGGTGGCTGTGTGTACTGGCTGCCTCCTGCCATCTATCGCAGCGCCTGCTCCATCACCGTCAACTACTTCCCCTTCGACTGGCAGAACTGCACCATGGTCTTCCGGTATGGGCATCACAGTCTCAACTGACATTAACCACCAGCTGCAGGTAGCCTAGTGGTTAAGAGCGTTGGGCCAGTAACCGAAAAGGTTGCTGGTTTGAATCCCCGAGCTGGCAAGGTGGAAAAATCTGCTGTTCTGCCTTTGAGCAAGGCAGTTAACCCCAACAGCAACTGCTTCCCAGTCACCGATGACGTTGATTAAGGCAGCCCCTCACACCTCTCTGATTCAGAGAGACACATTTCAGTTGCAACTGACTAGTTCCCCCTTAACCTTGCTGGGCCATTATACTGTATACCCTTTCAGCAGATCTGAATGAATTGAGTAGAGGCTGGATTCTATCCGTATCGCAGAATCTGTGTTAAAATGTAAAGGTAATATCCGATTGAGCTGACACATGCAGCATTTACCGTGAATGCAGTCTTTTAGTTTCACGGTTATGGATGACTGTGTTTCCTCTATCCACGTGTTCAGTTCCCAGACCTACAACGCTAACGAGATAGAACTAGTTCTGACGGAGGAGGACAACCAGCCTGTGGAGTGGGTGGTGATCGACCCCGAGGCTTTTACAGGTATTGCAGTAACCCTACGCCGCAAACACCTTGATTGATTTATGTGTTTTTTTGTGAGCGTATGAAAAATACATAGAACATCGTTCTCTCTCGTTCTCTCTCGTTCTCTCTCGTTCTCATGCACTCTCGTTCTCTCGTTATCTCATTCTAGACAGAATTGGATAATGTTCTAAGCAGCATACATGGAAGCCATGACACTATTCATATTAACTCTAGCTCTCCTCTGTTGCCAGAGAATGGGGAGTGGATCATCAAGCACAGGCCTGCTAAGAAGCTGATTAACCAGCGCTACACTAAAGATGAGTTAGAGTACCAGGAAGTGGTGTTCTTCCTGATGATCCAGAGGAAACCTCTGTTCTACGTCATCAACATCATCGTCCCCTGTGTCCTCATCTCATCCCTGGGCCTGCTTGTCTACTTCCTGCCTGCCAAAGGTGACGACTGCATGGACACACACACACACGAAAGCATTCACATGCACCAGAGGAAGCTGGTGGGAGGAGCTATAGGAGGACGAGCTCATTGTAATGGCTGGAATGGAATGTATGGAACGGTACCAAACACATCAAACAAATGGAAACCACATGTTTGACTCCGTTCCATTAATTCCATTCCAGTCATTACAATGAGCCCGTCTTCCTTTAGCGCCTCCCACCAGCCTCCATTGACATGTACACACGTATGCACACCCACGTTCACAAACACACACACACACTCACATACTCACCGTCCGCCCTCAAGATATTCACCTAACCTGCCCGGTAACACCTTTAGATGCTCATGAAACCCAGTACATACAGTATTTCATTGTCTGAAGATGAACTGCAAGTCGCCCTGGATAAGAGCTACAAATGACTCAAATGTAAATGTCAATGTAAGATGTTCATCAGCTGATTGACTCTCTGTGCTTGTGGTCTGATATTGGTTTTGGTCAGCTGGGGGTCAGAAGTGCACCGTGTCCATCATGATCCTCCTGGCCCAGACGGTTTTCCTCATCCTCATAGCCAACAAGGTTCCAGAAACTTCCCAGACTGTTCCTCTTATCGGAAAGTAAGACCACTTATTTTAATATATTTAACTTAGACTATTTTACTGCTTCACTTAAATAAAACATTTAAACTTCTTCAACTACCACAAAAATACTTCTAAAGAGTGGAAGCAAGTCACACAATTTTCTTAATGGAAAATGACCTTCTAGTTCTAATATGTTATTCCATTAAAACAAAAAACAATGTTTTAAGTGAGAAGTAGCCATTGGTCGGAAGTTGATAAAGAAAGGAAATTCAGGAGCATCACAATGCCTACTTCACCCATGCTCTACCAAGGTTTTCCAGCACACAGCTTTGACCTGCTACAGTTGCTATGTTGGTCTGTTGTACTTCAAACAATGTGTATGCAGGTTGCTTAGGATTCAAACCTTCTCAAACAGCTTAATTCATACTCTTAGAGGAGGTTCTCCAACAATAATGGGATTTGTACCGCATACAAGGTAAAGTATTGGATTCTTCCCACATCACACTAAGACATTTTCCCATTCCACTACCTTTTCAAGCATTTTTTTTATTATATCAAAGCTAGCTTTGATTTATGCTTACAAGACTATCAGGCTTGATTGAGTGAGCTGTTTTGTCTTGTAGTGATGTGGTGCCTGCCTGTATTTCCTTAAATCTTTATTTAGCAATACATGTCAAAATATTTCATAACATAAATTCTGGGTCAGTAGGTGCCCAGAGGTCTATAGAGCCTGTCTGCAGTCCTGATTTCTGTAACCGTTAGCTTTAATGGCTTTATGTGTTTTGTAGGTACCTGATGTTTGTCATGTCCGTGACCACCATCATAGTAATGAACTGCGTCATCGTGCTGAACCTGTCTCTAAGGTCCCCCAATACACACATCATGACAAATAAAGTCAGAAAGGTAAGACTATAAAACTGTGACCAGCAAGTTTGTCAGAGGCGTCCCAAGCCATTACGAGATGGCTTGTTAGGCCATAAGGGAAAGTTTGGCTGATCTGGACTGGTAGTGTTGACCAGGGTTGGGGTCAATTCAGGAATTAAACTGAAATTCTAATTCAATAATTAATTTTTAAAAATCTGATTTGAATGATTTATCAATAAACTGAGGACAAGCTATCTATCAAAACATTTTTTAAACATCCTGAATTGAGTGTCTTCAATTCGAATTGGCCCCATACTTACATTTACATTTTAGTAATTTAGCAGACGCGCTTATCCAGAGCGACGTACAGGAGCAATTGGACTGCAATTGACAGTGTCGGCTCAGGGATTCAAACCAGCGACCTTTCGGTTATTGGCCCAATGCTCTTAACCACTAGGCTACCTGCCCCAACTCTGGTGTTGAACATTGACCCTTGACGTTGTTGACCTCAGGTCCTGCTGAACATCCTGCCTCGGCTGCTGAGGATGCAGATGCGACCGTGGACACCGTCTGAGGACTGTGACTTCAGTGATGGAACCGGTAATGGTCACAGTTACAGTACCGACGGTGGGAGTAACGTATTTCTAGTCCCCTGCCGGCGCCGCAGCTCCCTAGGACTCATCATCAAGGCAGAAGAATACGTCATGAAGACGGCCCGGTCTGAACTCATGTTCTCCAGGCTCAGAGAGAGAGACGGCCTCATGAAATCTGCACTGGAGAAGATCCGTGAGTAGGGTTACAAATAGAATATTACAATGGGAATTTGGGGAATTGATGGGAATTTTCGGTTATACTGTACTTACCCTCCACTTAGGATAAGGATAAGGGTTAGTGTAAGGGTTAGGGTTGAACCCTAGGGTTAAAGCTAGGGTTACTGCTGTAAGTACAGTGTAATTACGCAATAATAAGTGCAGTTTAATGTAAAGTGTATCACATTTTCAATCTTAGCTGCAAGAAAATTGCAAGAAATGTGTATAGGTTGATTCTCTGTTTGACCTTTGACCCTAGATAACAGTCTTGAGGGGGGTACGGCACAGGACCTGGGGACCAGCCTGGCCCAGGCCTCACCAGAGGTGCGCCAGTGTGTGGAATCCTGCAAACATATTGCTAAGAGCGCCAGGCAACAAAACAACTTTGAAAGCGTGAGTCTCCCCAAAGTGTTTCACCCACCTGGGTGATGCACGGCTGCCATTTTGTGCCAGAAAATGTTTCTGTAATAACGCTCATTACTCTCTCATTATTGAACATTTAGAGTGATTGTCCACTTCTTAGTCTCCCCTCTGACCTGTCCCTCTGATGCCACACACAGGAGAACGAGGAGTGGTTCCTGGTTGGCCGGGTGATTGACAGGGTGTGCTTCATCGCCATGGCGCTGTCGTTCTTCATGGGTACCATCGGAATCTTTCTGATGGGGCATTTCAACCAGCCCCCCTCCGTGCCTTTCCCTGGTGATCCCAGGAAGTACCTTCCTCCATTAGGGAATAACATCACCGATCCCTTTGGGAATGACACTGGAGAAAATCTACTGGGTTGAGACTGTAAGGAGGGGCATGAAATGTCCATAAACCAGGAGGAGAAGTCTGAAAATGGCCCATGAAATGAATGGGGTTTAGCAGAGGTTCTAGAGGCTACAGGATGCTTTGAGATATCTATGGTTATGTCTGCATTGGTGGTCTGAGACTGAAACTAAACCATGTGGGTCTGTCAGAAGTGTTACAGTCTATGAGTTCACTCATTCAGTGAGACATGAAGGATTTTGGCAGAAAATTATAGATATCCATATTATTTACACAGGGATATGCTTGACCATATGCACTGATGCCTTGAATGATATGTCTGTTTCAGAGCAATGGTTGAAGGTGTTTTTTTTTTTACATAGATATTACCACTGAGTAATATGCTAAAGTTTTATCACATTTTAATGTTTACTTTCTTTAAGGCAACCCAACCTGGACTCAGGGGTTGACGCAACATAGTACAGTGCCTTGCAAAAGTATTCATCCCCCTTGGCGTTTTTCCTATTTTGTTGCATTACAACCTGTAATTGAAATTGATTTTTATTTGGATTTCATGTAATGGACATACACAAAATAGTCCAAATTGGTGAAGTTAAATGAAAGAAATAACTTGCTTAAAAAGATTCTAAAAAATTAATTACGGAAAAGTGGTGCGTGCATATTTATTCACCCCCTTTGCTATGAAGCCCCTAAATAAGATCTGGTGCAACCAATTACCTTCAGAAGTCACATAATTAGTTAAATAAAGTCCACCTGTGTGCAATCTAAGTGTCACATGATCTGTCACATGATCTCAGTATATATACACCTGTTCTGAAAGGCCCCAGAGTCTGCAACACCACTAAGCAAGGGGCACCACCAAGCAAGCGGCACCATGAAGACCAAGGAGCTCTCCAAACAGGTCAGGGACAAAGTTGTGGAGAAGTACAGATCAGGGTTGGGTTGTAAAAAAATATCAGAAACTTTGAACATCCCACGGAGCACCATTAAATCCATTATTAAAAAATGGAAAGAATATGGCACCACAACAAACCTGCCAAGAGAGGGCCGCCCACCAAAACTCACGGACCAGGCAAGGAGGGCATTAATGAGAGAGGCAACAAAGAGACCAAAGATAACCCTGAAGGAGCTGCAAAGCTCCATAGTGGAGATTGGATTATCTGTCCATAGGACCACTTTAAGCTGTACACTCCACAGAGCTGGGCTTTACGGAAGAGTGGCCAGAAAAAAAGCCATTGCTTGAAGAAAAAAATAAGCAAACACGTTTGGTGTTTGCCAAAAGGCATGTGGGAGACTCCCCAAACATATGGAAGAAGGTACTCTGGTCAGATGAGACTACAATTTAGCTTTTTGGCCATCAAGGAAAACGCTATGTCTGGCGCAAACCCAACACCTCTCATCACCCCGAGAACACCATCCCCACAGTGAAGCATGGTGGTGGCAGCATCATGCTGTGGGGATGTTTTTCATTGGCAGAGACTGGGAAACTGGTCAGAATTGAAGGAATGATGGATGGCGCTAAATACAGGAAAATTCTTGAGGGAAACCTGTTTCAGTCTTCCAGAGATTTGAGACTGGGACGGAGGTTCACCTTCCAGCAGGACAATGACCCCAAGGATACTGCTAAAGCAACACTTGAGTGGTTTAAGGGGAAACATTGAAATGTCTTGGAATGGCCTAGTCAAAGCCCAGACCTCAATCCAATTGAGAATCTGTGGTATGACTTAAAGATTGCTGTACATCAGCGGAACCCATCCAACTTGAAGGAACTGGAGCAGTTTTGCCTTGAAGAATGGGCAAAAATCCCAGTGGCTAGATGTGCCAAGCTTATAGAGACATACCCCAAGAGACTTGCAGCTGTAATTGCTGCAAAAGGTGGCTCTACAAAGTATTGACATTGGGGGGTGAATATTTATGCACGCTCAAGTTCTGTTTTTTTGTCTTGTTTCTTGTTTGTTTCACACAAAAAAATATTTTGCATCTTCAAAGTGGTAGGCATGTTGTGTAAATCAAATGACGCAAACCCCCAAAAAATCCATTTTAATTCCAGGTTGTAAGGCAACAAAATATGAAAAATGCCAAGAGGGTGAATACTTTCGCAAGCCACTGTACGTTAACTATGTTACCATCTAGTCTATGAGACCAGGCTAGGCATCCATCATCCATCATGTTTTTTGTAAGATGTTTGATTTTGTTGTGATTTTGATATTAACGAACACAGTGTTCTCTTTTCTAGTGTGTTGATCATACAAGTGTTTTATTTTTATTTTATTTTTTCGGTATCAAGATGTGCAAATTCTTGATACCATCTGAAAGGAAACACTTTGAAGTTTGTGGAAATGTGAAATTAATGTAGGAGAATATAACACATTAGATCTGGTAAAAGATAATACAAACAAAAAAACATGCGTTTTTATTTTATTTTATTGTCATCTTTGAAATGCAAGAGAAAGGCCACAATATAATATTACAGTTTAGGCGCAATTTAGATTTTGCCCACTCGATTGCAGCAGTGTGTGCAAAGTTTCAGATTGATCCAGTGAAGCATTGCAATACTGGACTATTTAGTATCAAGTCTGCCCAAATGTGCCGAATTGGTCAATTGATACATTTTCAAGTACATAACTATAGAGAACATACGAAAATGATATGGCAATACAAAATGTTAGTTTACACACTCCCAGGAATGTCATACATGATGGATCATTAGCTTATACACTAACTTTCACACATCTAGATGGCCAGGCAGGGTGGGTGTGGAGCCAGATACAGCAGGGGTTCAAATTTGAATATAAAAATGGATTTTATCAAACAAAATTATGCTACATTTTATCTCTGGGACTAATCAGAGCAAGATTACTGAATGTAAGTACATTATTTACCTTCAGAGGTGAATGTATCAAACCAGTTGCCGTGATACGTTTTTGTTGTTGTGCACTCTCCTCAAACAATAGCATGGTATTTTTTCACTGTAATAGCTACTGTAAATTGGGCAGTGCAGTTAGATTAACAAGAATTTAAGCTTTCTGCCCATATAAGACACATAAGACAAAGTTTGCTGTTATGCTAATCACATTAGCGCACGTTAGCTCAACCGTCCCGTATACGGGACACCGATCCCGTAGAGGTTAAAAAGCATACTTACTTACATGTACTGTACTGTTAATATTTTCTAAGTAGTTCTAAGCTGACATGTGGAATTGTTTTTAAATGGTCACACCATGGATCATTTAGCTATTTGATTTAGAATTTTAGGACCCCTGTAGCTATATATATTTTAAAAATACAGTACCAGTCAAAAGTTTGGACACGCCTACTCATTCCAAACTTTTGACTGGTACTGTATATATATTCTTTGGGGGATAAAATATTGAATTTGGTTTTTACTACTATAGCCCATAGAAACGCATTGAATAACACATTCATAAATGGCAAAACAATTGTCAAAAAATAAATCATAAGGTATAAGGTTTTGAAGTGTCTCTCCTATGTCTAGGACATATAAGAAAGCTCAGGATATATCTATATATTTTTTTACACATATTTAACCACTTTTTTTTTTAGGTAGGCACTCAAAACGAACTTCATACTTCCATTCATTATTTTAACCGGTACCAGTTACCTTCAGACGAGTCCCGTGACACTTGTGGAGGTCGTAGAGCAAAACGGAGAACACTATTGTGAGAATCACATTAGTTTGTAGGCCGTTCAGATGCTAGACGTTTTCTCATGGTCTGACAAACACAACTGTAGCTCGGCCACCTTCCACCGCAGATGTGGAAGGCCGCCATAGGCGGATGCGGTCGATTGAGACGCAGCCCACGCAAAAAAACAAACAGATCTCTAGTTTAAACTGACAGGATTTTTTTATGATGTTACATAGATTGACGCACCGGTGCGTCAATAGCATCTAAGGGTTTTAAAGGAACCACTGTGCAATATGTGAGTACATGCTATGTGCAGTAATTACTCTAGTTGCAACCATAACAATACCTTAATACAATGTTGTTGCTAGAGTAAAGCAGTGTGTACCTACATAGGTTTAAGAAATACTTAATGGAAAGAGCAATTTAAAGTGTTACCAAATTCAAAGCAACAGTGGTATATTACCATGGAGTTGAGTGTCTGAACCACGCCTATTGTAGATTGTGACAGGTTCTCAGTATATCAACGCTCAGGATAAGACCCAGATGCAGACCGTTCAAAATAGCAAAACGTTTATTTACAAAACAGGGGGCAGGCAAACGACAGGTCAAGGAAAGGCAGAGGTCAGTAATCCAGAGCAGAGTACGAAAGGTACAGAAACAGCAGGCAGGCTCAGGGTTGGAAACAGGAGACAAAGGGCTGTAAGACATAGGTTTAATCCTAGACACATGAAAAGTGGGATGTATATAGAGGGTACGGGGCAACAGAAGACGATCAGCAGAGGGGCTAAGGATCTTGGAGATGGGGAAAGGGCCGATAGAACAGGGGGAAAGTTTGCGGGACTCCATCCAGAGGGGCTTATCCTGAGTGGACAGGAGGACACGAACTGACCAGTAGTCCTGCAATACAGACAACTCTTAGTGTTAAGCCTGCATAAATGTTCGGCTGGAGACAACCTAGCTCTGCCTAGTTGCATCGGCTCGGGAAGTGGTGAATCGGAAGACTTCGGAAACTCTCGGGGAATCTTGGGTAGCCTCAGATTCTCTCAGAGACTTCGGGGACTTCCGGAATGCCTCGGAGGCGAGCAGAACTACCTACCTTCCCGCAGCCGCCCATCAATCTGGATAGTCAAGGCAATAAGCAAGTCGAGATCCGTAGGTAGTTCCCAGGCTGCTATCTCGTCCTTAACTTCCTCCGATAATCTGTGCAGGAACGTGTCGAACAGCGATTCTGGGTTCCATGCACCTCAGGCGCCAACGTCCGGAAATCCACTGCATAGTCAGCCACACAGCGGGAGTCTTGCCAAAGCAGGAGTAACTTCCGGGCAGCCTCTCTCCCGGACAATGGAGAATCGAAAATCTTCTTCACGGCAGACTGTTGTTCCCACACTGCCATAGCCCAGGCGAGAGCCCTCCCAGACATCAGCGTGATGAGGTACGCTATCGTCAAGCGGTCCGAGGGGAAGGAGGAGGGCTGCAGCTCAATGATGAGGGAACACTGAGCTTAAAATGCCCGACAGGTTCCCAACTCTTCAGCGAAGCGTTCCGGTGGAGGTAAGCAGGGTTCTCAGGAAGCCGGGGTGGCCTGGGAGTGACGCGCTGTTGACAGCCAGGGCTGGGAGGTTACCGTCGTG